ACTGGTGGCTACGGTATACCGTACCGAAATCAGATCCGGTTTCGATACTTTAATAAAAAAAAAAAATTAATTAATTTTAAAAGTGAGTGGCCCGTGATGGCNATACATTTAACCACTATCATAAGAACTGGCTTTTAAGCAATCAAAAATGTGAACACTTTTAACTGTATCATAGTATGATAGTATTTCATCTGTTTGCATGTTTGTCTGTTCCTATTTATTGTTGTACTGCTGTTGTCTGTTGTATTCTATTTATTTATGTTTTTATTTCTCTCGTCTTGTTGTGCTTATTTAACATCTTGCCAAGGACAACAGTTGAAAATTAGCCTGCTGGCTAATACTGGCTCATTCACAGCAATGTAGATTAATGTGCACTGTCCTTTAAAACAGGGTTCCCAAAGTGGGGGTTGCGAGATGATTCCCCACCCCCCCGTCGACAGGGGTTCGCCAGTCTCTGTCACTGTTATTTTGGGGGTCGCGGGCTGAAAAGTTTGGGAACCCCTGCTTTAAAATAAATAAACGAGTCAAATAAACAAGTAAAGAAAAGCCCAGCTATATTTAGATTATCTTCGCTGCTTTACCTTGCTGTCCGTCAGCGCATTCAAACAGAGAACTCAATTACATTATTACATTACATTAAGCTGTTGTTTTATGTTCTCTTCAAAGCCCCAGACTCCATTCATAAAACCAGTCAGTTTTACTTGCAGTAATAGAATTTGCCGGTCTACTGCTGCCTCTACTGGTTGTTTGTTTGTGTTCCTATGTGTCTTTGCTGTATCCTCACTAACTCTTTTAATACACCAAAGTCTCACAATAACACTAAATAACTAACTGATCCAGGCACAGATAGACCTGAAACTCCTGAGGTCCATTGACTGTTTGTGTCAATGGAGTCTGGTGGCTTTAAAGAGAGCATGGATGACAGCATGGATTTGGCTGTAGACTTAAACTGATATTTATTATTAAAATGTAATGTCTAAAATATATTTGTATACTGCTGTCATACACAGCCGAACATTGCTTAGCTTCCATGATGGAACTCATTTCTGTTTGTACATACTGCCTAAAACACTGACTATTGGTATGGAACTCACACATGCCAACTTAAAAACACCCCATAATGATAACAAAGGCACATGTCAGTACATTTATGTATTTTTAGAATCCAATGATGGAATATTGTATAAAAACAGGTTAACTTAATATTACAAAATAAATAAATGTTCATACTGGTTATACCTTCTATAGTGTACTCATAATTATTCATTTATTTATGCAAAGCGTCTAAAGTGTAGTAATATCTATAGTGTCAATATTATACTGTCTATATTCAATATTTCTACTTCTTGATATACTAGCTTTTCATATCCATCATATTTATATACATGCATAATACATGTACATTTGACTGCACTCTTCCTGGATGCAAACTGCATTTCGTTGTCCTGTTACTCTGTGAAATGACAATAAAGTTAAATCTAACCCAATCATCCAGCCTTAGATCTGCCTGTAAATGTTCCCCATCAAAAATAAAAGCTGTAGTTTTAAGTGTGTGTGTGTGTGTGTGTGTGTGTGTGTGTGTGTGTGTGTGTGTGTGTGTGTGTGTGTGTGTGTGTGTGTGTCTTTATGTGTTAGACTAGAACGGTGCACACATACAAACTGTACAGTATGTATCAAACGTGAGCATGTGTGCATACATATGTATAAACTTATCTTTTATACAAGATATTGTAATCGTTTTGTATTGTATATGCAGTGGGTCTGTTTAATTTTCATACTGTAGTTCCATCGATGATTGACTCTGTGAAACGCTGAGTCACTACAGACGTGTGATGTAAAGAAGTAAAAAAAAAAAGAAGCTAATCCTCGCCTTTTTGAACAGTCGTGTTAATAATTGCTGTATAACGTGTCCACAGTAAGCAGCTGCTCATCAGGTAACACAGGTACATTACATTAAAACTGCCCATGCACTTTGTTAACGTCACATCACAAAACCTGAAGTATTTTCCAGCAGGAGAAGCTTTTCTTTTAAGTCCAAGCACTACCAGGCTCCAGGCAGGCGTCTGTCACAGCCCAAGTTCTCTCATGGCAGTCGAACAACTCAAAAGGGATTAGAATATTTGGCCATGTATGTTGTAGTTCCATTCATTTCAACATTCCTTTTGTTTCTTTTCAACAAATGATGATTTTTCTATCAGCCATATGTGCATGTTTTAGGTCAATAAAATGTTTACTTACTAGGTGTTTCTGAGCTGACTGTGCTGTTTATGATGGAGTGAGCGTAAAGTGCTAATGCATGTTATTAGCAGTGGTCTAAAATAACTAAGTATATTTCTCAATAACTGTACTTAGGTACACATTTGGGGTACTTATACTTAACCCGAGTGTTTTTGTTTTATACTTCTACTGAACTACATTTTGGAAGAAAATGTTGTTCTTTTTACTCCACTATTTTTTATTTGACAGATGTATTTACTAGTAACTTTATAAATTCAGTAATTAGGAAAAACTTTAAAAATAAGATAATTTGATTTAAATTAAACTATCTCACATATTTAAGTAACTAAAGCCATGAATGGGTTAAAAGGGAAAAAAATAGATTTAAGATTTCATTATAGTTCCAACTTCTTAAATGTGAAGATGTTATCCTTTTTCATAATGTTTTAAAAGAAAAAAAAATGAGTACTATTACTCCTAATACTCTAAGTACATTTTCCTAATCGTAAATTTTTACAGTGTGGTATTAATACTTTTACTCTTGAAGTAAATAATCTGAATACCTCCCCCCCATATTATTCATAATGAACTGAGAACAGGTGATGTATAGATGTGATCATCCTTTTAAATGTGTACATTTCAAAAATAAAACCTCCAACATAGAGCCAACAAGTAATGAGAAAGTAAATATCATTGGACTGCCCAAGGGCACACAG